ACTCCACAGGCAGCCCAAGCTCACTACTAGAAAAGCGGACGTGACTCTTACCGTGTTGCGCAACGTTTTATATTTATAAAGGTTTGTATGGGATGTTATCGGTTTGCCTTAAAAGAGAGAAAAAATGTCTTGTTTTGAAATAAAATGGACTTACCTTATTGCCTTGTTGTTTTCTTTGTTGATTCCTAGCGTCTCGGGCCATTTTGAAGCGTTTTCGGCGAGTTAGCGCTATGTTGGTTTTCAACTGCTATGTTGGTGTTCAACTTTCTTTTAGCTGTTGAACACCAACATAGCGCTAACTCGCCGAAAACGCTTCAAAATGGCCTGAGACGCTAGGAATCAACAAAGAAAACAACAAGGCAATAAGGTAAGTCCATTTTATTTCAAAACAAGACATTTTTTCTCTCTTTTAAGGCAAACCGATAACATCCCATACAAACCTTTATAAATATAAAACGTTGCGTAACGCGTTAAGAGTCACGTCCGCTTTTCTAGCAGTGAGCTCGGGCTGCCTGTGGTTACCGCAGCGCACAGTTTACGAGACGCTTCTCCCTACGACGCTAGGCTTATGTGGAAATGTTGCCATGCCGCCAGTGTGGATCAGGTTTAAAAATTGCAATGTCAATGTTAACTGCTCTACTCGCGATGACGTAGAAAGCATAATACCCAGGTTACGTTTACAAAGCTCCAGTGCGCTCCATCCTCGAGAATCACACATGACGACAACTAGACCTACTAGTCTCTTCGGCTACCTCATCGAGAAGATACAAAGGGTCTAAAAGAAAAGCCAGTTTGTTAAATACTTTTTCCAAATGCCAATTACAGAGGTGGTCTTGCGTGTATCACCGGATGTACCTGTAATCCTCGATAAAACGCCTGGGACACTTAAAACGGTTACCTATAAATGAATACATTTTAAGACATTGTTGTTAGTTTCAACGTTTCTTTAGGAAGGAGTAGAGGGCTTGGAACACTCATATGAGGATAATCTTTATGCAATAAAGCATATACTTTATAAAATCCTTTGGGAATATCCTTGAGGGTATCCTGAAATATTTGCACCAGGTTTGTGGACTTGATAGAAGAGTGTGAAGTCGTGATAATAAATCTTATGATTTCACTGAAATTTCCAATCTTTAGCTTCTCGCAACTGTAAACAAATTTCTTTTTAGGTGAAGGACGGCACCTCTACTAATGATTAGCAGAGTTAGCAACACTGTAATTCACCTCTGAGTTCCAGAGGTAAGTTTTGATGATTTTTTAAGTTATGACACCAGTATTCTTGCAACAAAAGCCTAGCCTGCAGAACAGGGATTATCTTTTGCTTTTTCATGACAGGCTAACGGAAAAAAGCGCCAGGCGGGTGCGAAGCACGAGTCCTCCCCTCGCGTGGGACTCGCACCTCGCACTACCTCGCGCTTGCCTCCGTTCGACTGAAAACCGTGTGTAGCCTGTTCTGCAGGCTACACACGCTTCTCTCCCTCGATTTCCTGTCGTGGCACACCCCATTATGCAGATTAGGACCCCTAGGGTGTATTCTTGTATTTATCTGAGAAGACATTTCCCGTAGGAGGGTGAAACATGCCAGTTCTTTTAGAAAATATTAAAATTTACTGGCGCACGAAGAGAGAAACCCTTCGGCCGATTCCTCTCTGTAGTCAGTTGGGTTCAAGATCGTTGTCTACTTCTCTAATTAGTAAATCCCATCGCATCGCTCGACATTTTGTTAGATTGTGTAAATGAGGGTGAGAATAATAATCATTTTGCAGTACAGTTGACACGCCTCTCTAACTTGATCATCGTTATAACCCGAACTAAAACCGATACCTCCATATTTCCGTTAGAAAAGTACAGCAGTTTCTTGTTAAGGAAACCACGACGGCGACGGTAAGAGAACATGGTGTAAAAAAGATTTCATAGCAAAACAATAGCTCATCACGTGCGTAACCTATCACTTCAAAATGTAAAAAGGTTCTTTTGACGGTTTTCAAAGTGTCATAAGCATCTTCAAGGCAACAGAATGTCTAGCAAGGGACAGAATCTTCCGCAGGAATCAAAACTTTCAACAATTTCACCTATACTGAAAAATTTCGAGATGAGGCCAAAAAAAACGTGACTACTGAGAAAGTAAGTTCAGTGTTTTGACGCTCTTTAACTTCCATTTTTCATGACATCTCTTAAAGTTTCGCATTTCCTTCCTCATCGTTGATCGTGTTGGTTCCGTTATTTGTTATGCTAAAGAAAAGCGTATGTTCTTATGATAACTTTACGCTGAACGTTTCTTCCAATACACATTTAGGCCATCAATTGACCTGTTGACCCCAATCTGGTGGTCAGAATATCTGTTGGAATTGTTCTAGTGCCGGAAAAAACCTTTCTTGAATTAAAGAAAAAGGACAAGTCACTTTTTTGTGTGTGTGGGTGCTTTTTTTTTAAGTCTATGCTATCGACACAATGAAAGCCGCAAATGTTTGCCTCAGAGATCACACGATAAACGCGAAATGCAGTTTGTTTGCTAACTACTAGTATTTTAGAAAAATGGACCGCCACTTCCCCCCGAAACGGTACCCGCCTTAAAGAACACTCACCTTTATGCCACCTGGATTCAACCTTTAGTAAGTAGCTTGGACGAATTGTTTCCAACTGGTCAATTATTTCTTGAGTGTACGCTGCACCGTGACAGTGAAGGATGTGCGGAGCAAGCGTTGCCCAACAACTTCAGCATCTCTTGACAATGGCGTTGACAAATCGGTAATTGGTGTTAAACACGAGTAAATTTTTCAAAGACAGACAACAAAATTGCGCGAGGCCGTAGGGCGAGTGCAATTTGTAGTCTTTGAAAAATTTACTATTGCTTATTTACACCAAATTGCACACGAAATCATCTTGTTACTTGTTAATAAATTACATTAAAACGCATGGCAGAAATTCAAGACGGACGAAATTTTGACAGTTCGCGCACTATTTGCACTCGTATTACAACTTTGCACTCGTGTTACATGAAAAATCCTCTCGTTCTCAGCCAATCAGACGCGTCTAATTTTTTCATGTATATTGTCACTGTACATAAAATTTTATAAATTATTCCTAAAAAATAAAATATTGCGTAACACATTGATGAAAGTAACGCAAGGTTTAGTTTTCTTTGCATCTCTTTACTGGCCCATCCAATATCGATCTAATGCCACAAAAGGGCATAGATCGTTGAATTTTTAAAAGTCTTTCATTTTTCTCCGCGCCATAATCAGTTGTGATGAATCGTTTTCTTCTTTGTTTCATTTCTATACCTTGACGCTTTTCCTCAGAGGGAAGGAACAATTTAGGTCGTTTAACAAAGGAAGGAAATGAGGCAGCGGGGAAAAAAGGAGAGTAGATGAGATACTAAACGACTTGCCTCTGTTTCTCTCTAACTTAGTCTCCGTCGCTGTCCAGCGGCCACGGCTTGCCACTCAACCCGCGCTTACACAAGACCACAAGACTGGGAACGATTTGGAAGACAAACCTCGACGACGGCTTTAAAGGCTTCGGTCATCTTGGTATTAATTATATCACGTTTGCATGGCTTCTAAAAAGTATTATTTCACTGTACTCGTCTACTTCTTTCATTTTTACTCTATCAGCTGACCAGCTCTTCAGCTATTAGCATATTCAGATATAACCTCATTTTATCTCTTACTTCGTAGATTGATTCATCCTTTCATAAATTAATAAACCATTTGTTTTAGATCATGGTGGAGGTTGTGACAGATCAGCTTCCCCGATTGGCATCAACCAATCACATATCATGTCAAAACCTGTGTCAAAGCGTAGAAAGATTCAAGCGGGAGCTAAGTAGGGCTCGGGAACCCTGACCTTTTCTGGCTTACGCAAATCGGTGCGCAAGTGGCACTAACAAATTTATTTTTAAATTTAATTTTACACTTTCTGCCAGAATGTGTCGGTGGTGGCCCCACAAATGCAAAGTCTGTTTTGTTCTCTGTCTGAAACTTGGCCCCCTTGGTAGGTTGTTTCGTGGAAAGTGTCAGTGATGGAGCCAAGAAAGTAGTGACGTAGTCACAAAGGAGGATAAGAAGGATAAAATGTTTTGAAGTGAAGAGTGGAACAAGATTGGTTGGCACCTATCATCGGTAAATTGAAATGGTCTTCAATCCAAGGCATTTTGAGCAGGTTGCTTTATTTTATTGTGTTCACAGCTCTGTATCCCTTCCTTTTAATTGAATCGAGCGTCCGAAAAACAGCTAGCTTTTCGGGCGGGCAGAAACCCAATTGCTTCTTCACTGAATTAAATCAAGATTCCCTTTTCGAATTAATTTTTATCATTCTAACTGGTTAGCTGCTTTTCTTTAAAATGCGGTGCAAATAATCCTATTGTTCTGTTCATCATTCACAAGCAACTGACACGTTTCACATGGAGTTTTATTGCGCAGCAGATCTGTTTCTAGTTCGCCTTCTTTTTGATCCTCCTCTTCAGATAAATGTTGATTCAACAATTCAGTTTTAAAGTCAATGTCAGATTCAGATTTCCTTCGTCCAGTCTCTAACGTGTCTGTGTTACTGCTCCTCCGAGGAGTATGGTCACTAAAACATCTACCATCAACATATCTCTCATTTGTACATCTTTTTTCTCTATCATTCCATTTTTCTTGGTCGATTTCTCGGTCAGCTTCACTACCCATCATAACATGTGTTTTACGGCCGATATCTGAGCCCGTAATATTACGGTCAGCAGCCTCGCCTTCCACATCCTTATTTTCCGTGACGTCATTAGGTGGAACGCAAGCGAACAACCTTCGTTGAGATGAAGATGGTTTTCCCCCGCGCAAAAATTTCTGTTTTTTAGTTGCTTTGAAGTCCTTTTGTTTATGAAGCATGTTTACTTTATTGTTTTCTTCTTCATATGAAACTTTCGGTGTCTTTTCCTTCGGCCAGTTGTCTAAAGTCTTCCTAGGAAAAATGGAGATAATTAAACCTCAAGAAAGTAACTGTGGTAACTGTAGTCAGCAGCGTCGCTAAATGGATTGGGTGCGCGTGCGCATGTGATTGTGATTCTTTCTATTTCTTTTATATACAAAAGTTGAGATTGATACTTAGGCTCCAATGAGATGCTGATGTAAAATCTAAGTTGAAGACGACTCTTTACACCACTGGCAACAGGAAAAGCAGGGAAAAGTATACTCGTTGCGCCAAAAGCCACTGCCTCGTCCGCCATCTTGCAAAAAAACTTCCACAACACCTGCGTATCTCGTTCGACGAGTGAACGTCGTTTGCATTTGCATTTGCGTCGTCCGTATGAACCAGGCTTTGAGCTTAGTTCACACGTACGACGTAAATGATCCTAATGCGTAGAACATGCAGGCTAATTATATCAATTATGATAACAACTGATTTCTACGGCGCTACTTAACGCAAGATGTTCAAGGGCATAATACATTAAAATAAACTACTAAAATCAAATTAAAATTATGATGCATGATTCAAATAGATACGAAAATAGATTTAAAGAAAGGGAAATGTTGTTCAAGTCTGCTAAGAGGGCAGTTTACATCAGGAGTAGAATAAGTGATAAGCGAAAGGTAATTTTGATAAAATTGCGCGATGTTTTGAATAAGCTGACTCATTTTTCTTGTACGCTCGATCTCCGCCAGTGACCCTATCCTGCCACTAATTCATGGTTTCCTTCGAACGAAAGAAGACCTCAGGCCTCGTGGACGAGATTGAATTCCTCCGATATGTTTCAACGCTGAACATTGCATGCTTGGTTTGGTAAATGGATGTTAGTGAACGTCTCTGGCCAGTGGTTTAAATCTGGGAGTATCAATTGTGAGGAAAGTTCTTCAGAGTACTGTTGTCCGTGAAATAGAATGATATTTCGAAAACCTACGCAAAAGTCATCATCAGAGTAAAGTGTTCGTTATAACGCTATGTGGCCTACAAGTCATGATACCCACCCTGAATGAGCTTCACCTTTATTTGCTTGTAATTTCTCGTATCCTTGTGGCAAATTCGTTTCTCTCAAGTCTCGACCATTCTGCATACGCCTGAAAAGTTGGTCTTGTGTTGTACGGAGCGTTTCTCGAGTAGAGATTAACTCTCTTCTTAAATGCTTAATAAGCTTCTCCATCTGTAGAAAGAAACATGACATATAACAAAGATGTTCTGGCTTGGACAGTGAATGCTTGGTTTTAAAATGAACAATCTCCGACGGGAAAGAATATACTTCGTGAATACTTTGTAAGTATGCTTGGTGCTTCTTGTGGGTGCTCAATGGCGATCTCGAGTTTCATTGCTCGCAAACGCTATTCGTGAAAAAGGAAGCGCTCACACAATATTCTGATGTTTGTGTAACAGTATGAAGAGTTATAGACAAAGAGCGCCTCGCAGATTTTAAATTGATAGCTCAATTTAAAATCAAAAAAGGGAATGATGCATACCTCAAGCTTCTTAGTGGGGACACTGTTTTCCTCGCGGCACGCCTCTGAGGCAGATTTGCTAGAATCTGACGACATGATCATCCTCTGCTTATCTAATGCATCCTCAGCGCTAAGAAAAAAGGAGAGAAAGAAATTAGAAAGGTAACCAAAACTTAATTATGATTATCGCGTCACAAGTTTTAAATCAGGGAACATGAAAAACATTTTGGTGAGCTTAGTGTGCAACTAGCACCCCTTAAAGCAGTCTTTAAAGAAGGGCCACCTTTTTAAGAGCTCTTTGTATCTGTTATTGACGTTATAGTGGCACTAAGCTAGATCATGGAACTATCATTGGCTCAAAATTGTTAATTTTTGTATAATAATCGTTTTTGTCATGAATTAGAAATAATCGTAGAGGGGCCTCGGAAGAATTTTAAATCTAAAGATTGTAGCGGAGTCCCCCTGCGCTTCATACCTAAGAAAATATCACAACTCATCAAAACAAGAAATCCTAGTTTTCACCTGATTTTGCTTTTTGGATTATTGCCACGTACGTATATTCATTAGAGCTATTGGAAACTTTATATTGGCAAGTGACAAGGTTTCCATTACCTGCTACCAGCGATATCTTCCTGACCCTCGTTTTCAGCATTCTCGTTTACTCCGACATACGCATGCGTAGACTTGGAATTCTGGCCTTTCTCTTTGCTCAAACTGGACAAACTCAAGCTCGGGTTTACGTGTCTCCGGACATTCCTGTGTGGTCTAAAAAGGATGATGTACACCTTGGGGCCATAAAGGCAGCACAGGAGAACAAAGGCTATCAAAGAAACGCTAACACACAGGATCAAAGGCTTTAGTTCGTATTTTTGTTCCATGTAATACACCGCCAAGAAAGCGAGCCATACTACACACGATGAATACATGGCGAAAGCTATGTATTTCGCTTCGTTGAAATTACTAGGAATTTTTCTTGTCTTGAATGCGTAAATCGTGCACATGGTGATTAGTATAAAGTTGTACACTTGAGACAGTCCAAAGTCTAGATTTGAGGTCGAGCAATCGAGGTAAACTGAGGAGAATTCTGGGTAATAAAATACAGCTCGCGGCGTTCGGAGAAGTGCAAGCATTACCAAGAGTAAAATCTGCACCGAGACCACTCCAACGACCAGAACAAGCTGCGATAAAGGTAGGATTAATATCGGTCTACGGGCCAAGTTCTTGCGATTGAAAATTCTGGAGATGCGGTTCGTCTTTATAAACAGGGATGCATAACAAATTGTGAGAGCTACACCGATACCAAAGAAACGCGCAATGCAAGTGACATCTGTAGGTTCCAGTATTGTAACAAACGTCACACTAAAAGCCAACAGAATTCCAATCAACAGGAGATGGGAGAGTTCACGACCACACGCTTTTACTAACGGTGTCTTGTCAAATTTGATCAGCACACCGATTACAAAGAGAGTTGACACCACACCTATACCCGCAAAAACGGTGGCTGGCAGAGATATGATCCAGTTCTTTCCAAAATACATGATGTCGATTTTCGAGCACGAGCGTCCGTCGGACGTTGGTTGGTATCCCAGAGGACATTGCTCGCAGATGCTGTCATTTACTATATAATGGTTGCCATTACACAAATTACAAGTCCAGCAGCAGGATTCTCTACCAACAACAGGCACTCTAACTTCTCTGTTCTTACATACTGGATGACAAGAGGATGCCACTTCCCTAAAACCTGACACAGCCTGCGAATACACTTTTAACCGGTGGGAGTCCCATTCGCCAACTTGAACAGTTTTGTATTCGTTTCCATGTTTTGTGAACATGAGAATGTCGAATTGCCCGTCAACGTCACCATTTTCATTGAAATGCATATGATTACCACTCATTCCCGTAAAAGAGACATTTCTGATATATTTCAGGATCTCTCTTCCCGACATATTGCGCATGCGTTCACAAACACCACTCGCCTCAGGACACTTATCTTTCAGAATAGCATCCAACGCATGTGCAAACACGTTGACCGCATCCATAGCGCTTGCGACACGACTATCGACTGGACTGTTTGTGAAGTTAAGTTTTAAGCCGCTACATTTACCATTCACTTCGTTATATAGCGAACAATTAAAATGTCTCTCCCAGAACTCGTTAAACCATGGATTTCTGGAGTTGTTATTAGGCTTCAAATGATAAAAATAGTCGGAAAAAGCTTTGAGTTCCACAGTTTTCGGAGTAACCGTAATTGTGTTCTCTGCCACATCTTCCAAGCCCTTTAACCACAACATGTTTCCCCAGGCGTCTGTTCCCAACCACTGAAATGCCCTGGATGCTCCTTTGCTCTTTGCAGCTTGCAGGAGATTACGGATTTGTCGTTCCTGACTGCTAAAAACTACCACGCTTCTGGCTTCAGGCTCTTGCAGAAGTTTTTCGATGATAAAATGAAATGTACCGGCAGAGCTAGACATTTCAATCTTCTCGGCTACAGCGATACAAATACCTAAACAGAAAAGAGTATTTCGAAAATTGTCCAGAATTCTGAATGATAGCAGCGGAAAGTGGATTTTCATTGCCTGTTCTGACATGAATAAAAAAAACATGTTTCATATGCGTGATATACTCGTACCATACTTCTTCTCTTTTTGTCCAGTCAAGAGCGAAACAATACTAGAGTTGTACACTTCGGACAGGTGTGTTTCTCCTTGCTTTAAACTAGTTTTGTTGACTTTTTTGCTGATTTTTGATAGGTTGCCTGTTACGCCAGTAACACCATTCTCGCCTAAGGGGAGGCTTGTGAACATTATGTGAGGTATAATTTGATCATCGCTCCCTTAGATGCTGCCCCCCCTTCCTCCCACACACACACACACACACACACACACACACGTATGAACACGGGAAAGCTCAAGCAATCCTACCTGCTTTTTTTGCTTCCTCTTTGACGGCTTGATAGCCGAGCGTGCCGTAGGAATCGTCACTATAAATAACTGATACAAAAGTCCAGTTCATAACCTTAGCGATGTCTACCAGTGCCTTTGCCTGGTACAGATCGTGTGGAACTGTACGAGAGAAGAACTCAAACCTCGTTTTATCACTCAGCTCATAACTCGTGGAATCAAAGCTCACTTGCGGGAGCTGGAACAAGCGATACAGATGTGCAACTTGCACGGAGATGGAACTGAAAGATGGTCCTATTACACCCACCATGACGGAACCATTTGTGGTATGATGTTCCCGGATCGCCTCCCTGTCTTGGACAAAGTGTAAGGCCCTGTCAAGAGCCACTGTCTCACTGGAGCAAGTATCGTACACTTCTAGTCCGAGGGAGACATTTTGCAAAATGGAATTGTTGTTGTTTATGCTGTCGATTGCGAAGAGCATGGCCTCCAGTCTTTGGACACCAATGCGTTCGTGAAGATCTCCGCAATGCGCTTGATCCTCTAGGTCATGATCGTGTATCGGTACCAGACCTCCAATAACAATCTCACCCTTTACGATCAAACGGCGAACTTGGCCGGTCACTTGGTGAATATTCGTTGCCATGGCGATAAATAATATACAAATTATCGTCTCCATACCTTTGCCTTTACCTAGAGAAGGATAAACATGTTATTTCCGTGACGTTGTTCAAATCAAGTGTTTAAGAAACGGTATATTGTAATCAGAGATTTTTGATCGAATTCCGGTTCCAGAGGAAAGTAGAAACAATATTTTTCGATATCGTCTACTGGAACGGTTTGATTATAATTCCACCTAGATTACTCCATTCTAATATTTGCCAATTAAATGGTAGGTACATGATTATATATCACGCAAAAAATTCTGACATTTTACTCACAGAAGTTTACGCGAGTTTCACAAAGTTGGCCTGTTCTTCTACAATTCATGCCGGGTTTGAGAAAGAACTCGATTCAACTTGAAAAGGTTTTGTTTTTCAACATAAATAGTTTTTAGATGGATTAAATTCGACCGCCTCCGTCGATATTGGTCAGCCTTTGCCGTTTTATCGCGTGGCAGTTTTCTTTACTTTTGATTTCATTTTCATTGCGGTATGACTTAGCGGTTTGAAAGTGTGATGATGGCTTTATTTTTTTGTTCAAATAGACAGCTTTGATAAAGGTAGATAAACTTTTGTGACAAAGCTTTCCGAAAGATATCGTCAGTTTTTGAAACAGAATAAAACAATCTTAGTCACAAACGAATCGTAGCTGGGCAATTCTTTTGCGATTAAAGACAAAATTGAGTTAATGTTAAATCTAAATTCGTAACACAAATAAAGTAGTGGCTTCTCCGAGAGCAGTGAAATTTTTTCTGACATTAAAAGTAAGCTTTCGGTTCGACCTTGTTGAGCTGAGTCGTTGCTGTACTTTGCGACGGCGATTAGCAGTGAAAATTGTTATTATTATTATTATTATTACTAAAAACAAATAGCAAATGAATGATCATATCTTCAAACCGAAAAATTTAATATCGCTCTGTTTGTTTCGGTTTTAGGGTAATTACTAAAAGCTTTCGTGGAGTAAGAAACAAGTCGATTGAAATTTTTCATCGTTTTCAGCTACGTTTTTGTTTAAAAAAAATTAGGACAAAAGGTGAGTCAGTCCCAGCGCAACTCGAGAAGAAAAACCGCTAGGCGTGCAGTTCCAGTGTTGGACATAAGTGGTCTGACTCCTACTTACGACAGTGAAGGTCAAAATATACGTCAGTGAAGAATTGTCTCTCGAGTTAATCACTTTATAAGAACTTCAGCCTACACAATGACACAATGAAAATTGTGCTAAGTTGGGAACCAAATATATGGCCCCTAATACTTCAGTTACTATGAGTGGTCCTGATGTGGAAATTTTCAAAATGCTTCAAACTAATTATGAGTCCTTGCCCAAAGTAAGTTCCCTGAAGGCACAAACTGTAAATACAATCAGTTTGTACCAAGTTCAAGTCTAGTGAATACATAAAACGGCGAAACCATTTTTGTTCGAATGACGTTAAAGGCAAGAATTTGCCTAGGACACGTGGAATAACAACCATCAAATAGAGACCAAGTAGAAAGTGAAACCAGCTTCATCACATGTTTTAGTAGAAACAAGATGGTTATCTCTAGAAACCGCTGTATTTAAAATTAGTCAGTCGTCGCGGGCTCCTTTATGATGTAAATGTAGCAAAGCGGCAAAGTTTTTCATTTGATTTCAATGTTGGTGGCTTTTCTTCGGTCAGAGATTTTTATCAGTCCTTCTGAGAGGTTACAGTTACTAGCTACAAGATCAGTTTTAGGATATATCATATGTAGTGGAATAACCTCATCAAGTTAAAAAGTTGCTTTCAAACTGCAACTTCTCTTCATGTACTTTTCACAGTCGTTTGGCTCCCTAACTGAACCAAATCGTACTGAGCAATACGACTTCTCTAACAGATATAGATAAACCTTTAGTTTGGATAGAAAGTTTGCTATAGTAAGACAAAACACAACATCAGCTGTGAATGCTCAAGACCAGACAAGTTACCGTCATAAAGAGTTAAAAAAGAATTACCTGCAGGTTGCCACGTTCGGTTCAGGTTTCCGTGTCTCGAGAGCACCCAGGTTGAAATAAATGCCTCACTAACTCTGAATATTGATTTGCTGTTTATTAGCATAAATATTAACGATATCTTGCTTGTCTAAAATTCTTTTTAAATAGTTTAAGTGCCAAATATATATATTGGATATGTTGGTTCATATTCGGAGAAACGATTTTGTAAGATAAAGGTAAGTCAAGGGAGAGTTAGCATAATTCGACTAAGAGCTTAAAGTTTACATAAACAGAACAGTAAGATACATTTTCGTTCACGTTATACGATTATTTGAAATTAAATTCAACTTTGGTTAGACGACACAATTTGTTATTCTGAACTTTGACTCAAAATTTGGTTAGAATAAAAGCTTGTCTGGTTCGTTTGACTGACTAGAAGGCGCACTGACGTGACACGATTTTACACGAAAATCTTTTACAACAACCAATCGCATCTTATCGTCAAAAGTAAAAAAATGATTTAATTGAAATATTCAGTCAGTTATCCTAGGAATGATTGAAAAAAAAAGCATACCTTCTAAGATGTGTATAGCAACCTCGATGTTGTGGCAAAATCGTATTGCCGATAAAGAGAAACCGTCGCTAGTGGTTTTTGTTTAATTTGGATATCCTGCCTTCGGTTTCGGGCGGAAATCGCAGATTTGTCTTTTGAAATGGCGGTTAACCGCCGAACATTCCTCTTGCACGGACTTCGGGAAAAATACTTTGAGATACTGCCTCAGAGCGAATCGATAAAGTAGAATCGAAAATTCTCGTAAGCAGATTGATTGAAGAGGTCGTTCAAAAGACGCACTTTTAGTTTAAGATAGTTTTTCCAAATGTCGCGTGCTTGGCTCAGTGACAAAGGATTGAAAAACACAGCGCTGAAATTGATAAACAAAAAGATTTGCGGCTTCTTATAAAACTCGTTCTCCAATAGATTCCGGCCTTTTGACACTAAAAACGTTTCAATTTATTCTTCTTTTGATGTGTTTCATTTTGGCACTCTCATTTCACGCTTGTAAAGTTTTTATGACTTTCCTAATTAAAGTATCATTTTTGACCATAAAATTAATTCAGAAAAAACAAGAAACCTTGAAGTGCGTCGGTCTCAAGTGTTTACCTTCGCCTAATTCGTACCCAATCGCCTCTCTTAAGTGAACAAAACATGGCGATGAACTCAAAGATAGGAATATGTCAATTTCCGTTTCCATTAAAACACGAGTGAAATGTTTAATTTTGCATCTTCTGTTCGAATCAATTATGAAATGGGAAATTGGCATTTCCTTTTAGAAGCTTGTTTTTCTAAGTGGCAAAAATCTATCTCGATCAATTTAAAATCCACTCCTGAGTGCTATACTTCGGTACATGTAAAGTTTGCAGGACAAGGCAAAATTCTCGCTTGAAAATGCCGTCCTCTATAACCTGGTTGTTCAATTATAAAAAGCAGTCCATCTTTGAAATACACCTCCCAGTGCTGATCAAAGCTTTGGCAAGTTTACAGAGTTTTTCCATCAAAAAGTTTGTTGCTTTAAAAAAACAATGTTGATTATAAGCTGATATTTTATCTATTTTATACAAAACCGTGTGACTAACTAAACAAAGCTCGTGTATTTCAGAAGTTTATGAACAACATCACGAACAACATTTAGTGCGAAGTTTTTGTGATATTAGAAAAAGAAGACAATGGTTGAAACTCCAAAATATCTATGCAGGCCAAAACTCGACAATGGACACAACTGAAATATAAAAGCTATAAATGTATCATGAAATAACAAAACTGATAAATTCGTTTATATTTTTTTACGGTGTGCGGTGAAAACTGATTTCAAAACAACTGATTATTTTTGAAGAACACCTCTGTTTGATTAAAGTTTTTAATGACGCTTGTGTTGATGAAAAAAAAAATATGACTTTTAGTTAAGATTCATTTAAGCACGTTTCTTTATTATTCAAGTGAATTTTAGCTAAATATATTTCTGCCTTAATTCATTTTTTCCTTGGACGGTATTGGCTGCATAGGGAAGGGGTTCATTCAAGCATTAAATCAATATAAGAAATCCACTTTATTCGTGAAAATTCTAAAATAAAAGCAAAGGAAAAAATCACGCAAACAAGTAAAGTGAAGTGGTGTGAAGTGTGTTGTGTAACTTACTCAAAAAGAAACTTCGTGATCTAAAATTTATAGCATGCCGTTTGACCAGACAATACCTAAAGCGCTAGAGAACTAATTTCCTCTGTTGTGAGTCTCTCTTTGTGAATTAGTTGCCATGGAGAGCTTTTTGATGCTTACTGACTGAACCACGCTTTCACCGCGAGAGTCTGCCATAATTTGATAGGAGAATAAAAATTTCAAAAGAATCAGAAAATTCTTATGGTTATTTTTGGGGGAAAATGTCAATTGTATGTCTTGGAATACTTAGATAAAACATATTATATGTTATTTCCGTTTCATTCTATAACTTCTACGTCCGAGCTTAATCATTTTTGTACTTTTATCATATTAGCAAAACCCACGCCCGAATTCAATATGACTACTAATTACTGGACTGATTGTTCCAAGCTTGTTCCAGAAGGTTGGCCAACTTCAAGTTATCTCAAAATTGCGGTTTAGAGAATGATAATAAACCAATTTTTGTTCCCTCCTTGACAAATGTTTCTTTTTTTATGCGTCATATCTGGTTTATTAGTGATGAAACAGTCATTACAACTTCGACTATCTACTTATCTTTTCTCTAAACTGCGAGTTATTTACATTTGAGTAATACGCTTTGAACTAACCTTTCTTAGACGGTTGCGCTCCTCAAACTTGCCTTTACGATGAAGTAATGATCTCTAAAGGCCTTGATTTGTAGAGAACGGGTGAAGCTCTCCCTGATGTACACAGTTCAACTCAACAGTTCCCAATTTGTACTTGTTATCACTTGCTTCGAAACAAAGAAGAACAGTTTACGGTCGATTGGCACGCGCAAACCCAGACAGATTAATCCCTCACTCTTCAAAACTTGTTTACGTTATCGAATATATGAACACATTGCGGTTTCATCAATGTGTCCTTTTGTTGTGAAACTCGTTAATAAACTTAACATCTCATTTGCTTTCAAATCAGAATAATTTTTGTACACCAACTAAATTTCATAAATATGGGCGACTTAGACGTACTTACGCGCCAAGCGAAGAGCCTTATTGTCATTGAATAGCGTCTATTTGAATACAAGGAAGCCACTTGTTGCAGAGTATTAAAAGCGAACTATTTAAATCGACGAGAAATTACATGTTCGAGAGCCTAGCTATTCGCTTACGGCGTTGCTCGTAGCTTCGCAAGCCATGCGGTGTGTTTTCCTTCAGCGGATGAGTGTTTTAGCATATCTTTGTCTTGTGGTCAAATTGGCGGATGGCACGCGCAGACAGGTGCACTGTAGCACTGACAGCTGAAGGCACCTGATGAATAAATCATTTGTGACATTTATCTTGATCTCAAGCAATACGTAAACAGTAATATCCTTTCATGCTTCCCCACTCGAATCAAATGCGAGTAATTTTGTCTCGCTGGTCGTCACTATCCATCATTCACGAAGAAAGCGCCTACTCGAGCGAGACTTTATGTCGGCTTTATCGAAGACACAGAGGAATAAATGAGGCGCTTTTTTTTCGTATCCCACAGTAAGCTAGCAGGGTGCTATATCTGAATGAAAAAATTAAAAAATTTCTAGTGGGCGTTGTTAACAAACCTAAACAATAAATATAAATGCGGTAAATGAAAGATCCACGACACGCTTTTTCATGCGATGCCAGCTAAATTTATCAAATAGTAAAACGTAACGCTACAAAGGTCTGTGTCAGCCTAGTTTAATCACTTCGGCTTTGATTTTCAGTCTTCTTCGATGTAACTGTCATTTACTTGTTTCTTTCTAGCTCTTTTCGCTTGATGACGCCGTCTGATCCAGCGAACAAGACGCTTATTGCCATGCGCGTTAATCAAAATGAGTCCAATTTCTTCCGAAACAAGCTTTCCACTGTTTAACATCCCTTAACAGCTTTGTTAATTAGTTTCTCAAGAGTCCTTTCGCCACTGGCCATAAAAAGCTTCCTTCATCGAGAATTTTCCATCGTGTAATGCACTGAAAAATAACTTAGACTTCTGATAGAATCTTCCTTGACCCAACCTCGTTAGATTTCTTCAACCAAGAAAAAATAAAAAAGGGTTATGGCTGACTGCCTAAATGCAAAAATTAAGCATTTTTTTAATCTCCCGTAAGACGGCAGTTCCGTTTGTGCACTTAAATAAGTCATTCCTTGATTACGATTATAATGTATTATTATGCCAATATTCAATGTAGAGGACAGATCAGTGTTGAATAAAAATGCTGGATTTCACGATGAACATGGTAATTTACTTAACTGGGAAAACATATATTCCTATTTATGACTCAGCGACATACACATGTCTCGGAGAAATGATTCTCTTACCAAACAAAATGCACCGCGGCTTAGCTGTTTTCGTGTTCCTCGCACAACCAATGTTTTTAATCTCGCACTCATCTAGCCACCTCTTGACGAGAGTGTTCGAAATTTTAATATTGACTGCGGTCAGACATAACTCCGTCAGTTTTGTTCCTTCTCATAAAATTTTTATAATAATTGTTATATTAATGGTTCAAAAAAAGATGATGGAAACTCCATCGCAAATTCATCCTATGTTAAAGAGATCGATTGGCTATGATACTCACCGTTTTATACAATTTTTTAGACTTCAGGCAGCAATTAGCAAGCCACTTGGCAGGAGTGGTAATTTACTCAATACAGTTAAGAGGACGATTTGCGCTATTTTATTCTCAAGTGGCTGTACAATATTTCCCAATATCATATTTCAAGAAAAAGACTGTATGTAATCTTCTACGGTGTCCATCCGGAGAATATAGTATCCAGTCTCCTCGTGCGTCACTTTTAAACTGCAGGCAAGGTCGGTCCTGAATTGTGTTAACTATCGGGTGTTTCCTTACCGAGCCAAGCCTTACTTGCTGATTTAACGCAGTTCCCCACTGAGACCTCTTGTGTAAGAAACACACCAATGCATGTGCGTTCAACGTGAAAATATAGACTGCTGAGTTAAATCAGGCCAAATCATTTCTAATATGGCTGTACAACGTCGGGCGACTAAGCTCATGGTCGGGAATACGATTTCTTACAAAGAACGTTTGAATAAGACTGGTTTGATGTCACTATCTTCTAGACGTATCTATTTAGACCTAATTTTTTTTATTCAACTGCCTCCATAGTTATTATGACCTCGACATCTCTAAGTATCTGCAGTTTTATGATTCTGAGCATGAACCCGATAATTTAAGGAACACTGAACTAACTATTAAAACTAACTATGCAAGAACAGAATTATTTAGGTCGTCTTTTTTTCCTAGAGTTGCTCGTCTTTGGAACAATTTACCTATATCTATTAGGAGAAGGGAATCACTTTCTATGTTCAAAAATGACCTAGGACTCTACTGTTTTGCTATTGATAGCAGTGATTTTAATGTAATTGTTATTTAATTTTAGTTAGCACTAAGTTTTAACATGTAGCATTTTACTATACTAATTTTATGATACTGCCTGCCATTATGTATACTTTATTTGTTCTCATTTTCATATATGTAGTTTCTGGTGGCCTTTATCATTAGGTAAGTTCACTCCTGTTGCTAGGTCTTCCAACAGCTATTTAATTATATGTTTGTTTGTACATATATTTATCTGCTGTAAATTGACTAAAGTAAAGCAAAGTAAAGTAATATTGAAAACTGAGGTGCTGAAGCCGAAATCAACGGGTAGCTGATTGCTCCGAACGAACTTCTTAAGAACAAACTATGTGGAGGCTGTACTCCTGGTGTTTCCCGCTATTTCTTTCCAAGAGCGCTTGCTTACTCAAAGCAAGTGGGACCCCATTGAGACACGAAGTGCTCTAGGGACGTGAAACAAATATCTCGTAGTCGTTAATGCTGTTTTTTTTTGTTGTTGTTGTTGTTGTTGTTTAACGTAGATGTCTGTTTAGTTAAATGGGTGGGATCCTTTCGTCTGGGTTCGTGTACTCTGACAACCAGTCAAAGAATACTAAGGGACCAGTCGCAGTCGTCGTTGTTTATCGCCCGGGGAGATCATATGGTTTACAGAGGGAACGGAGTGGGGGATCAGTCGTCGCCAATGGAGTATAAAGGGGGGGACTATAGAAAATTGACTGGAACGGACGTAGAGACAGCAGATTAACAATAACTCTCAATAAAGAAACGAAAACTTTAAATTTAAATTTAAAATTACAAGACATGTTTCGACGTTATTTACAAATTGGGTTTAGTCAGAACATTGGTTGACAGAGTGTAGTAAGATCAATATTCCTGGGTTGGTTTTCATTTGGATGTTAAGAAGCTTATTTTCTTGTTACGGAAAAACTGTTTTCCATCTTGGGTCATAGACGGGATCATCTACAGGTATCTAACTAAGAAAAATAATCCTTCTCTTACTGGGCAGAACGACTCAACTGACTCCGGGAAACCTTCTTCGCACTATTATAAACTTCCTTATGTTGGCCAGTTTTCAAAAATCGCTCAGACTAAGTTAAGACAACTACTCAAACGTTATTGTAAAGCTGATTTGGATGTTAAAATGGTCTTCAGTACGTTTAAACTAAGAAACATGTTCAGTGTGAAAGATTCAGTTTCGCTAGGTCTACGTTCGCGTGTCGTCTATAAATTTTCGTGTGCTGGCTGTACTGCCAGTTACATTGGTGAGACCACCCGCCACATTTGTACACGAGTTCGTGAGGACCTCTTGTCGGACAAGTCTTCGCATATTTACAGAGACACCTGCAATCATCAAGGGCCTGTCTTGACTCTTGTGATACAGAATGTTTCACCATCTTAGATTCTGCCGCTTCAAAATTCCAAAAAGTTAAGTTCAAAGAGGCATTGCATATTACGTGGGAAAAACCCATTCTTAATCAGCAATTGAAGCATGTAGATTTATCTCTTTCCTTTTAATTATGTTGTTTCTTTTGTCTTTTATTATTTATTTATTTATTATTATTATTATTATTATTATCATAGTTTTTTTTTTGGTCTAGTTATCCGCGAGCTATTTTCATTTTACGCGTATTTAATATTCAAATTGTAACGTAAGTCCGGACACGTAATTTGTAACGTACCTTAATATAAATTCAAATGTGCAACCGCTAAAAGCTCATTTGCAACGTTTAACTGAGGATGACATGAGAATGTCGAAACATGTCTTGTAAATTTAAATTTAAAGTTTTCGTTTCTTTATTGAAAATTGACTGGCAATTGAATTTCCTGCCAATGAAGGGGTTGGAAGGACGGAATCATAAGAATATTACAGTCTTATAGGAAAATCAGCAAACTTTATCGTGACACAACCAAAATCCTCCGACACCCTTCCCTCCCATTGGTCCCTAAGTATTTAGTTCATTGTAAAATGCTTGTTAGTAATCAATCCCTTCCTTCAAGGAAAACGACCTACGACTGCTTTACTTAAAAATAATTTATTAAAACTCTTCGACAGAAACGTTTTTAAAAATAGGTCAGCCAAGAATATACAAAGCATACCAATCTCCCTTAATTACCATGTTATCTTTACGTATACATTTTTGATAGATAATTCACACTACCTCTTCACAAGCTACATTTGGAATAAACAAATGAAAATAGCGATATAAAAAAGTTACGAATTCTGTAGAAGGACACTGGAATACTCTTTGAAAACGTATCACAAATTCACGAAAGCTTAAATGTGAAAGAAGAGAAATCCTTGGCCGTGGGCCGGCATTTTCCTTAAAACGCAAAAAAAGAAAAAAAAAAAAAAAGAAAAAAACACTAACGCTTAACCTGCAAGCTTCAGCACCTATGCCTAACTTGCTCTGTGCATGGGTCTGGCTCGATTAACTTGAGTACACTGAAAAGGTTTTCAACACTTGAACAAATGTTGAACAAACGTTGAAATAGGATCTGATAAACTGGCGATACTTTACGTACAAAGATTACTATTGTACCCATCCACGGAATTTCGTTCTATTGATAGTTATGGCGGCAAATTTCAGTGCGGTGCATTTGATAGAACAAGGTGCGCCTGTCAAACATGTGCTGGTCAAGTTGCTGGAGTCTCAATGTAGTTGCTTTTAAAACTCAAGACTGCGCTAACGACGGACCAATTGTGATTTGATAACCCAAGTATTGCAGTGCACTGAAATCTCCTCCGAAATAGCATCAGACGTCATTTAGGCAAGAGCACCCCCTTAATCAGTATATGAGGCAAAAGTTCTGTAAAAATATAATTTTTCAGCTAAATTCAGCGGATTATTGTCAGTATATTGGAGCAACTGCACACCTACCCTTCCCCAATCCAACATTAACCTTGACTTGTTATCAGTAGACTATTCTTAGGTTAGGGGAGGGGTAGGTGCGCAATTTCTCAGACACTGACATTGGTCCCAAACTATAACTTTATAAGTAAGTGTTTTTGCTGTGCGACGAGACCCGCGGTCTTGCTCGTAAGCTCTCGTCCCCTGTGTTGAATACAACGTGACCTGCTTCTACATCATCATCAGCTGTTTTGTTTTCAGCGGTAGGTCCTTTGGCATGGAACACTACATCACCAGCTTGAAGTGCGTCAGGATTTTTCACAGAATCCGCGTTGTATACAACGTCATTGCTTTGAAACTCAGGTGCGCTTCCATCCTTGGGATAGGGCTTTTGCTTCAACACGTCATCGTTTAGAAGTGTTCGGGAGCCGCTCAGATTCGGGCTATTTTTACCCATCTCGTTCACGTAGCCCCGCTGGAAATGCGTCTGAGGGGGGTAGGGTCGGAGCTCTGCACCCGGCTGAAATGCAGGTGGGGGTGGCTGGTTGATGATTTGCATTTGTGCTTGGGCTTCCTGTTTATGCCACTTCACCCACGTGTAAGCGATCAACGAGACTAAAATGATGAGCGCAATAACACAGACCAATATCATAAGACTGTCTAGCGTCTCCATGACGATCCAGTTAGTACTTATTCTCTTGTGCGTTCAAAGCTAAAAAGACAAAAGGGACAAAAAGTCGTTATTGTTTAAAAAGAAGGATATGTTTAAATACCACTCGTTTTCCCGCCCTTTTGTGGTTTTGCCGCTGAGGACCGCGAGCTTGGTACTCTTTTTTTCACGTAGCGGCCACTTTGGTTTTGTTATGTCTTGAGCTCGAAATAAATTATTTTATTCGAGGACTTCTTCCTGGTTATCCATCTGTTCTGGCTTCGAGGACAATTATATCAACGGAAAGAATTTTACAGCAAAATAACGATGTTGCACAAAGAAAATTCCTTCCATACTCTCGTACTTTCTAAAATAACTGAGAAACTTCGAACGCTCTGATTGCCCAAAAACCTATCGCTCACTACACCGACAAACCCATAGAAAATTGAGGTTTATTTTATTAAAGCAAAAGACCACATTTTCCATCGGTTCACCAGTGTATGATCCACTTAGGATGTTGACAGAACACTCGAAAAGATTGTGAAATACTCACCTCTGATTCGTGATTTACAAAGTTTTCTCGTGTTCTCCCAACATCGTGGGTTATTACGCCGGTAAACAGATAGAAGTGCGGTCTGTATGGTTGGACCGTACTACTCAGGGATCGCCCGTAAAGTAATCAATGTGTAGGTTTGGGGAAAAGAAGAACAGAGAAACTTTGCTGCCAAGTAAATAGCATGCACATATCGTCGTTAAGGAAGTTTTCAGCGAATGTATCGCCAGCCACGCAAGAAATAAAATAGTAAACTACTCAACAGCGCAAATTTAATGCCTTTATTTGGCTTATAAGCAGAAGGTAACGATACTTTACGTCCTTCCAAATGTAGAAATAATTTCCTTCCTCAATGGTTTTTATTTTAGGGTTGGCAAACGCGAAAGAGAAAAAGACGGCTTAGGATGGAGACAGCAAAAAAGTTTTTCAGAGTTAAGACAATTTTGGCTAACGTTTTCAAGGAGACAATTCAGACTTGTGGTAACCTCTTTAATTTCGTGAAGTTGAATAGGTTTCTTGTTGTCTAGCCCGTAATGTAATACGATTTTTCATTGCTCCGTCACACAAAAATATCCGCGTCGGATCTGTCAGATCCTGGACTTAACTAATTTACCATAGTTCACTCAAAATGTTATATTTCTTACAATTTAGTTAAAACTGTTGTTATGTTCTAAGTAAAGAAGATGCGGCAAGGTCTGCTTTTCGCTCTAACAATGCAAATATGCGGCTGACTGGACTCTGATTTAAACAAAAGCTTACCAAATTAGCAATTCAAATTATTCGGGTTATTTAAACCGATCAAATGTTGAATAAAATCTTATGAAAAGTTAACGCTCTTTTGGAGTACAAAAATACTTGTTCCATCACAACTCAATAACCCTTTATCTCTACTGATAAATCGTGATTTTGCTGTTTCAAAGTGCCCGGTATAAGTTAACGACGCTGTTTTGAACCTCATCAATGACCTTTCAATTCAGTTTACGATGCTTGCGTGCTTTCAGAATTCACTAGGGAATTAACGTGTTGTATTAGGCTGTTGATGATTTCGTAAGGTAATCAGCTCGTAACATTCGCTTGTGCTAAGTGCGAGAAGGATATATGTCTAGCACCTGAAAATTATCTTGTAATAAACAAATGGTGCGAAGCCATAAACACTAAATGATTTAATCCCCTGCTGTCTCTCATTACCACAAAATAAATCACTGCAAACGGTTTCTCGTAAGCTTTCCTAGTATCATAGTATCGGTATCGAAATCTATACTTTACAGACAGGAGAGAATTCGTAGCTAACTGTTTTGCACAGTAGGTCGTTCAAGCGATACAAATTACATTCCATCCAGAAAAGAGAAAAATCGTTTAAATTCAGGCTGTATATTTCATGATACTTACTGTTATGCCAAAGCCTGCGTTGTGCAGTCTGTACCAGCGAAAGCAACAGAATCCCCTTTCTCGGACAGTTGGGATAAACGAAACCTCTGCTTCGACTGATACGCGACAGTTACAATTCAGTGACTTTAAGTGAAATTTACATATGCGTCAGTGCAATCAGTTTAATCCGTTAGAACATCTCAGCGTCCCGAGTCCCTCCCCCTCAGCAATGGAAGTAATCCCGAAGGAGCTCTCAACTTGAATCCAGGCAAAATAGTCAAAAGTTTGCCCAGGACAGGAAGTTGTAGAGGCTAAAATGCTGTAGGATAAAGAAGAGAAGAAATTGATCATTCATGGCCATCTTTCCATCAGAATTTTACTTATCTTTTAGAATAGGTGAGGGGAGGGGGATGGGGCAGAAAAACTGCTTCACGTGAATCATGTGTCGGAGTGAGTGTCAGTTCCTCGCAAACCGGATGGGTGGACCACTAAAAGGTCACGCACCAGTCGACGCGATGTGTCTTCATCTCAGAAGAGAAAAAAAGAAGTGCCACGAAAATAATAAAAATAAAATAAATATTTCATATCTTCAAGAACGATTTAAAGCTTATTTCCATAAACACCATCTAAAAAGAAGGAAATTTTGAGTTAAGCCAAATATATGATATTATCGAGTTCCAAAGCAAAACTTATCAAGCATTGAATGAAATTCTGCTTTCGACAATCCATCTGCCTTTCTGTCACCGTTTTATTCCATTTCCCATGATATGCTACGCGGTCTTCGGAAAGCCGACATGACCAAAGAACCATTAGTTATTTCTATTTTTTTATTATTTTTTTTTTATTGCGGGCTCACTTTTATGTTCGTGTAGTATGGACGAAATCAGGCCTGGGACGACGCATGAGAATTCACACAAGAAATATCCCATGATACCTCGAAAGCGTCTCACCGCGCAAAGCTGCCAAAATGGCGGCCTCCACAGCAGAGGAAAGTGAAGTTGTGACAAGTTTATCGGTCATTTTAGGGATTTCCAAAGAAGTTATTGCTCAGTTTTCAACTACAAATGAAGATGCAGACGCATTCCTACTCAAAGTCAAGCAGATGTTCGATGTGTACTCGTCTAAAGATGAAAAAATTCGCTCGGACATGGCTGCCCTTCGACGGGCACGTGTAGACGCAGGTTTTTATCTTTTCCGTTCAACTCGTTAAAAATCCTGATATTATTCACTTCTGTGGCTCCTTTTGATTTGTATTTTGTGTTTTAACACAGATTCTTTTGAGAATTGTAGAATGTACCTTGAAATCATTTTTACCATTTGTTTGAAGCGGTGAATATAATTGCATTATTGTTGTTTACACTTGAACTGACAATCATTTTGTTAATGTAGAGCAACAGTTCAACCAAATAGAGAAGCAGCTCATCTCCTGCAATGCTAAACTGGAGTCAGAGCAAAAACAGCATGAACGACTCCAAAAGGAACACGAAGAAACTGGTAAGCTTAAGATATGAACAAGTGATTTTATAGTATCCAAGGTTAAAGTTAAGATATGAACGAGTGATTATTGTAGTATCCAAGGTTAAGGTTAAGTCTATACTCCAGCAAATGGCTCACTTTGCCAAATCTTATCCTGGTTTCCATAGCATTAGGGAACAAGAAGTAACACCTCTCCCGTCTAGATGGGGTGCTAGTCCATTCAAGGTTACCTCCCAGTGTTCCATCAGGCTTCCCTAACAATTTGTCATTACCTATTTGTCATCCTGGATGGAGAGAGGCTTTGTGAGAGTACAGTGTTTTGGCCACAAACATTGACCCTTATCATAGTTGAGCGCTCTTACCCACTGGGCTGCTGCATCTTCTGTTATTATAGTGTTGGGAACAATGTAAAATCTAACAAGCTGTATCTCAGATATCATCTAAATGATTTTTACAGGACACAAGATGCTGTTAGTAATCAATACTTTTTAAAATATTATCAAGAGTTTTGTACTTAAAGGAATTTGTTCAGGGAGTATGGCAGAACCTCCCCTCCTGAAAGGTAATTTTGTTATATCAACTCAGTTGAAATTGTAATTTGGCCACCGTAATGAATAAAAAAGCTGACGTTTCGAGCGTTAGCCCTTCATCAGAGCGAATGGAGGAGTTGTGGGTTGTATGTGGGTTTAAATATAGAAGTGAAGGTATACCATTGGTGGGAACGTGGCAACGAGAAAAACACGAATAAATTAGTGGAATGAAAAGTGTTCGTTGATACCTGTGGGATTAAGAGTGCCAATTTGAAAGACTAACTTTTGTTCAAGAGTTTTGTGGCTTTCCGTGTTGCCTAAATGTAAGGAAAGACCGCAGATTTCCATATGCTGTTTAGAATGATTAGGTAAATTAAATGTCCAGCGACTGGTTTGGATGCATCCTTGTCATTACTTTCTACGTCATGAAGGTGTTCTCGGAATCGGTCACCTAGTTGTCTTTCTGTTTCGCCGATGTATAACTTTTTGCAATAAGTGCAAGTTATACAATAGATTACGTTGGCAGAGGTGCACTGGAAGTGATCGGTGATTTTAATGGATCGCTTGGGTCCCGATATTTTCAGTGTTGTGAATCAAGGGACAAGTTTTGCATCGTGCGCAAGCGCATTTAAAAGTGCTGGGTTGGTCATTAGTTTGGAATGAACTTCTGACCAAAAAATTGCCTATGTTTTTGTCGCGTTTGAATGAAATAAGTGGAGGTTTCAAATTACAATTTCAACCAAGTTGATATAACCAAATTACCTTGTTACCCCCACCGACGCAGCACCACAGTTTCTTTAGAAACTTTTAGCATTTACTCCCTTGCTGAAAGCACCTTAATTATGCCTGACTTCCAATTGTGGCCCTTTTATAAATTCCCAGTCCTGCATTTTTGAGACACGGTGGTGTTTTCTCCAAGCTAGTTTGGGTAAGATTGCTATGCTGTACCGTGGCCGGTATGGACAAATTACGTACATTATTTACACAAAACACATGCAAACTTTATAATTTGCAGACAAACTTAACAAAAAGCCAGCAAACTTAATAAAATGCATGCAAACTGTAAAAAACACTAACAAACTTAATAAAGGACATGCAAACTCAACAAAATGCGTACAAACTTAATAATGGACATGCAAACTTAACAAAATATGTACAAACTTAATAATGGACATGCAAGCTTAAGAAAATGCGTACAAACTTTGACAGGGACGCACACTTTAAAAATAGAACGCAACTTTAAAGTGAAACACATACAAACCAAAAATGAAACGCATACAAAGTTAAAATGAAAAATGCAAACTTATTTGTGTACGTTCTATTTTAAGTTTGCGCGCGTGTTTGCTCTTAAATTTGTAGGCATTTCATTTCAAGTTGGTGTACATTTCATTTTAAGTTTGTTCGTGTCATATTAAGTTTGTGCGCGTTTTATTAAGTTCGTGTGTCTCATTTTAAGTTTGAGTTTTTAATTTTAACTTTGTATGCTTTTCATTTTTAGTTTGAATGTGTTTCATTTTAACTTTGCGTGCTATTTTTTAAGTTTACTTGCCTGTCCTAAAGTTTGTACACATTTTCCTAAGTTTGTACACATTTTGTTAAGTTTGCATGTCCTTTATTAAGTTTAAAATTAAAATTAAAAAATTGTGGATTTATATTGCGCCGTTTCCATGACGGGATGATCAACTGCGCATTACAACAATGCATGAAATAAATACTAATTACATCATTACAACAATGCATGAAATAAATACCAATTACATCATTACAACAATGCTTTGTAATAGATGCCAGTTACATCATGTGTAGTATAAAATATTAAAAGCTAAGCTAACTAAGAATAAAAAGCCTTACTAAAAAAATGTGTCTTTAAGAGTTTTTTAAAGTTTGTACGCATTTTGTTAAGTTTGCATGACCTTTATTAAGTTTGTTAGCGCTTTTTACAGTTTGCGTGCATTTTATTAAGTTTGCTGGCTTTCTGTTAAGTTGATCAGCAGGGATTTGCTAAAGCAAAGGCATAGAAAAAACCAGGAAAGATTTATTACTCGACGTTTCGGGGTCATCGTGACTCCATTATCAAGAGACTAGTTTAAAAACATGCAAATAAGGAAAGGTACAAGAATAGCATAAATTAGACTGAACGGCTTAAACAAACACCTTGGCGCGGATGGAATCCGTTTGCACGTTCAGTGTTGGCTTACGCATGCGAATATACAACATTTCATTAACAAGGCAATCAAATTTGCCGTTACATTTCGTGATGACGTTGAATTGCTCGATCAAGCGTTCAGGCATTTCACTATTGTGCTGGAGGTGGTAGTGTTTGTAGATAGAAGATGATTTCCTTNGCCATGGTAATGCAGCCTCATTCTTCATTTTCCATACAGTCTTTGGATAATGAAAAATAATTTGTAAAAACGATAGAATGCATTTGGGACTACAGCTTTGTTTTACAATAATTATAGAATATAGGGGTGTGCAGAAATCTCATCTCACTGTGGACCATTAATGTTTCTTAACTTCATTTTGAGTTTTTAAACAAAATAATGTGGCTTTTTTGTGAACTTTACAAAAGTCCTAGATGCAGTTATGTTCTATGCTGAATTTGATTTATACTTTTGCTTTCTTATAGTGGCTTCACTTGCAGAAAAGCAGAAAAGACTTCAAGAAGTAGAGGGTATTAAAGAAGATGCATCAACTAATTATGTAAGCTGTTCTCTACTACCTCTTTATATTTCCATCCTCATGGTATGGAAATGCTCAGGATAGTCTCGAAAATATGTACACGAGTACTTGGTCTTGAAGGAAGTGTTGTTATTGTTTTTCTTTTTTTTTCTTAGACGCGTGTGTCACGACTCAATGAACAACTTGAGTCAGAAAAACTAGAGCTCTTGTCAGTTGTAGAGCGTAAAAACCAGGAGATTGACAGATTAAATGGTATGAACAGTTTTGTTTACTATTGAAAAAATAGATTCCATCTGGCATATGATTACATGTTCTCCTAGAAAAGAAAAGTCTAAGGTCCATAAACGTAGCTTCAATTTGAATGAAAAGTACAGGTTTAAGTGAGCTGTAACTGAAGACCCTTACTGGTCTTTGTAGTGAGAAAGCTGGTTTGATATTGAAAATTTCACATACTCTTTTTTTTATGAGTAATGTAAATATTTTGTTTTTGATGTGAAAATAGAGGAGTGGAAAAGCATGTCAGAAAAACTGGCTGAAGCCAATGGGGTCAAGTGTGCAGCTCAGGTATGTATGTAAGTGTGAAGTAAAAGTCATTGATGCAGAGTTAAAGTGGGAGTTGTTACCAAGTACTCTTTGTCAGTACAAATGCAGCTTTTTGGTTGCTGTCTTTAGAGTCTGAATGTTCTTGAAACAAGTATTCACATCAGGGATTCACATCAGGGCTGTCAGTAAGTTTTAAAGCAGCGGCTACATTGGAGTTATCACCAGTAGAATTATAGTTTTTTGTAGCAACAATCGTGCATCAAAAATAATATCCATTGAGCTCAACCATGACAAATGTTATACATTATGGTCTGATTGATGATCCTATGTGTATTGAGATTTACATGCACTTATTATTCAAATCTCATGGAGATGCTCATGTACTGTGGTTTCTTTTTCCTCTCTTTTGTTTGGTATGTTTTTTCTCTTTAATTAAGAATTCTAACCATAAAACATGTTCAATCATGTAAGGTGCTTTTTGTATTACTAAATGTTGTCAAGAAAAGTCTTCTGTAAGCCATAAACTTTTAAATCAATATTTTAAAACTTTTATGTTTATGCTTGAAGAGAAAAAAAAATGCAAATGTATGCTGTATCTCTGTATAACTGAGCTACATGTATTTTTATTTCAGGCCAAACTTGATCAAATTCAAAGTCAGGAAACTTCTTTTAAGGTTAGAATGACCAGAGCTACATGTTTAGAGAACAACGCACAGAATAATAGCTAGAAAACTATTTTATAACATA